GTATGTTGGATAGGCAACATGCAAAAAAAAAAAGGCAGGAGAAAAACATTGCTTAACAAACCTTAAGACTTAATAAAAAAAAAAAATTATATTTTGCATATGCAAGCATTGTAATGTTTACTAATAATCTGCCAAACTTTGTTAATGTACACTTACTAATTTAAAAATTACAGCATTAAAACTATAACAAGCACAAAATGGTTATGAGGTCAGTCTCAGGAACTGAGACTGTGCTGAAAGAATTAATAAGTCCAGCAATTGCCCTTTGAACAGCAAAAAGTTCTAAAACAATGTGTAGAAGCCTCGTCGTCCATCTATAAGCCCTGGAGTTCCTGACCATTGAGATATGCACCCCGATCCTGAAGTGAAGCATCCATGAAGAGATGGATCTCTGGATGAGGTGGCAGCAGAAGAGCACCTGTCACAGTATTGTTCTGATCTAACCACCATTCGAGATTGAAGATTATTATCCTGAATAAGGAAACTGGGGAATCAAGTGCATCACTGTTCATGATCCATTGGTCGCATAAAGACCACTAAAGGGATTTCTTGTGTACTTGTCCCAAAAGAATGAGGGATTTGAGTGATGTCCACATCCCCAAAAGAGAAAGAACCATCTGAACAGTGGGAGAAAAAGAGATGAGTAAGACTTGGACTGCTTGCTCCATAGCTTGGAACCTGATGGTAGTGAGCTCTGCCTGAGATACATGTTGAAAAAGATGCTCAGACTGATGATATATACTGGTGGAGTGAGAATAGATTTCTCAGCTCTGATAATGAAGCCTGCCTTGGTTGCTTTTGAAAGTAGGATTTGGGTGTGATGTTTTGCCAATTGATGAGATGGTGTCAGCAGTAATCAGTCATCCATGGAATGGTGTGTGCACAGGCCTAGGGAAAGGAGGTGAAGAGAAAAAACTTGGTGCTGATGTTAGTCCGAAGATCAGAGACCTGAACTGCAGCACCTGACCCTTGTGTACAAAATGCAGATAGTAGTGGGATATGGCTGCTATGGAAATATGCAGATAGGAGTCAGTGTCATCGAACTTGAACATCCACAATCCAAGTAAAAAAGGGTCAACACAGAGTGAGGAATGATTCCATTGTGAACCTTGGAGGAACTAGGAATTGATATAGACAAGAAAGATAGATGACTGCAAGTCAATCTCCTGTCTTTTTGGGCACAACAACCAGATGGGAATAAACATCCTGGAAGAATTGACATGACTCTTTCCACCACCCCCTACACCAACAAAACTCTGATAGCCCTAGAACAAAGTTCCAAAATCTGAGTATGTGCAGGAGGCAAAAACACTATAGGTTGGGTGGATAATGGTGATGAAGATTTGAACTGAATGACTAATCCTGACTCAAAGACCTGTTGTGCCCATGAATCTGTGGCTAAGGTTTTCCATACATCCAGAAATTCTCGAGGCTGAGCCCCCACAGACCCCAAAGGTAGACAATAGTCACTGCCACCAATGGTGGTGTTCCGACTGAGTGAAGGAATCTCATGGATATGGACGGAATCTATTCTGGTTACCAATGGACTGAGGGGCTGATGTCAGGGGTCGGGATCCTCGAATAGAGGCAGAACTACGATCCCCTGTAGGAGCCGAGGAAAGTCTAGATGCTAATGACAGCAGGGATGAATACAGAAGCTGACAATCAAACCAATATATGTGTGATAACAATCGTCCCAAATTCATCATCAAATTGACATGGTGATCCTGAGAGTCTTCTGACAAAAGTTGGAGGGAAAATAAAGATCTTAGGGTGAGATGAATCCTAGAATATTGTGATCTATTCAGGTTGACTACAGACTCTATTCTAGAACCCCAAATTTCCAGGAGCAAATGTGTTCTTTGAGAGTCTAAATATGCATCCACCTGGTGGTGGTAGGCTAAATCACAACCATGGCGGATAAGGCATAGCTGTCCCTTCACATAGCTGAACAGTAAACCTCCCTGCATGAACCACAATGTCAGAGGATGGAGGGAAACTAAGTACTCACTCCATACCTTTCAGC